GGTCCAGGACTCGAACCACAGTCGACTACATGAGAGTCCAGCAACATTACACCAACTGCTGGTCCCCCAAGAGAGAGAAAGCAAGCCGCCAAGTCAGGGACTTGAACTGTGGTCAGCCATGTGGGAGTCCAGCGCTTTTAACCACTATGCCACCTGCAGGCCTCTATCCTATTTCTACAAGTAGGCAGATCTTAACCAATTTTCCTTCCCAAGTATATTGCAGATCTCCCTGTAGCATTTATTTTTTGAGCATTCAGATGGATCTGGTTCATTTACACAGTTAGGGAAAATATTCTAATTCTCAGACAAAGCACTAGTTTCCAGATACCCCATAAGAGATAAATGATAGGAAATGGTAAATATAAATTGATTCTCAGTACAGTCTTGAAATTCAACCCAAAATGAAATTTGCCAAAAATAAAACAATATTGGATTGTTTGACTGTAGAAATGAGTGACATACAGCTTTAAATAACTCTTTCTGGAACTTACATGTTAAATCTATATTTAAAAAAAAAAACTAACTTTATTTTCTTTTTTTAGAGAGACATTTTTGCTATAGGGTATGTGTCCTCACCAGAGAAACAGAGAAATCACCCCTCGGGGAGATGACCATGCCACAGTCCTTTCTCCTCCATTCTCCTCTTAGGATTTAGGGCACTCATGCACATGTGCCCAGCATGAATTTCAAGCTTCCAAGTCTAGGAATCGAACCACTGTTGGCCATGTGGGAGTCCAATGACATAACCAATACACCAACCTCTGGTCCTGAAACATTTTAAAAGTTCTATCCAGGAGAGAAGAAAATAGAAAACTACTCCACTTAGCTGTGTCTTATAACCCAAAGAATCACATCGAGTACAAAGAAAATCTATTCTTTGAACCTTCAGCAGTGTTACCCTCTAAGGTAGACTGGCATTAACAGGACAACCTTCAGTAATTCTAATATGTATTTATTCTGAAGTGAAGATTCCGAAAACAAAGAGGTCAAAATGTGCAAAGAATAGAAGATAAATACTTAGATTGTGATCTTAAAAACTGCTTGAAACTTTCGGCAAGCTGATGTATTTCCTCCATAAAAAAAAAAATAAAAAATACTACAGAAATCTCAGTATTAAGTCCAAAGTGAAGAGAATCCCCATGCATACCATCATCAGTGTTGGGCCTTCTACTTGTCTTTCCCGACACTTATATTCATGTGACATGAGCTTAGCTCTCCCTCTGCTGGTGGTTTTTTTGCTTCAACAGTTAACTATATTATATTTTTTTCTTGCATTTTAATACTTTGATACAAAAATAGTGTTTCAAACTGCACAGTTATCACAAGTGCATACACATCACTTGGCATCTCTAGCACTTTCTGCTTTCTGTGCCTGGTATCTCCATTTTCTGCTAGGTTAATCCCATTCTAGCTGGCATCAGCTTTTTCCATTTTTTCCTTTGGGCACCTTCTCTCCCTGTTTTGCAGGGACCTCTTTAGGCTTGGGCTCTGGCTTTGGAGGCGCAGGTTTCACAGACAACCTTGCAGATTTCAGTGGTTCATCCTTCACTGTGGCTTTATCTCCTTTAGCATCCCCTTCAGCCTTTCTCTTGGGCATGATGGCGATGACCAGGGCACTAGACATAGGGAATGCAGTTGTGAGCACGTGCTGGTGGGTCCAGGGATCATTCTCACCTCTTCTTCTTTTTTTTAAGGTATATTTTTGCCATAGGGTGGTGCAATCAGCTGAGAGGAGAGACACAGTGAGAGGGCGAGTAAGAAATCACCCTGCATGGGGGATGGCTACCCCACAATCCCTTCTCCATTTCCCTCCTGGAATTTTGAGTATGCACACACAAGCGCCCCAGTGTAATTTTCAAGCCACCAGGTCCAGGACTTGAACTGCAGTCCACACCTCCTCTTCTTCACATTGCTCCAATAGTTAACTATATTCTTAGTCAGATGTACTATAAATTGCCTAATGACAAAAATTAATTTTGAGCATTTTTAAAGATTTTTTAATGGTAGTGCTAGCAACTGCTTATTGGAGTTCTGAATGCTAGGTCTGTTATATGTTTGGTCACTCTGCTGGGCTGAATTTCATTGAACTCATTGCAGACATTGAAGCAGCTGAAATAGAACGCGTACAAAGCCCTACCACCATACCCAACCAGCCTATTAGTAGATGAACTATCCATGCACACTTCAAAAGTCAGTATTCTTCTTCTCACAGATTCCTTCTCTGCCTCTAATCAAAGGCCTAGGTAGGGCATTACTTCTCTAAATTCATCAACTCTTTACTCACCACTGGATTATTCTCACCAATACACAGACTTGAACAAATATTCCTCTTGATCTCAGCTCCCCCTGGCGGATACCACCCCCATTTCTCTGTATATTTTTATTTAAAAAAAAAAAAAGTTGTCTAAACTCACAGTCTTAAATTCCTCTCCTCTCAATCTACCATAACCTATTTCCATCAACTTTTTACCTCTACCATTCCATGCCAAGTGTTCTTGTCAAAGTCCCCAGTGATCCCGGTCAGTTTTCAACCCTCATCTTACTTGATCCATCTGCAGCTTTGGCTCAGTTGACTCCTCCCTGACTACAGGACTCCTTCACTCTCCTAGTTTTTGTCCCACCTCTCTGAAGGCACCTCCTTACTCTCCTTTGCTAGTAACTCTTCTCCCAAGCCTTTCCACAAAAGAATGCCCAAGGTTTAATCTTTAGTCTCTTCTCTTTTCATCATCCTGTTTCATAACTTTAAATTTCGTCTACATGCCTATGAGTCTCCAGTGGTAGCTCTGGTCCTGATCTCTTTTGTTTCTAGTGCTCACTAGGCATCCCAAACACTAGTGCAAAGCTAGCCCCATGCCCACTCAGAACCCTACTCCAACTACAGTTATCTCCCTTTCAGCTTGTTGCAATCACATTGTTCCAGTCCCTTTGGCCAAAACTTTGGTGTCGTACTTGCCCTTTCTCTCATATACCACATCTGATGAAAGTCTTGTTGAAATCTTTCAATTATTTTTAGAATCTGAACTCTTCTCACCACTTCTACCACTTACTATCCTGATTTGAGTAATAATCCTCTCTGGTCTCATTCAGTAATTTTTCAACTTTGAAACATATTCAAATTACCTAATGATCTCTTTTTAAAAGAATTAATTCTTTTAAATTTATTTATTTATTTATTTTTATTTGACCAGAGAGAGACAGGGAAAGTGAGAAAGAGAACCACCAGGTCCAAGACTCAAACCACAGTTGGCCATGTGGAAGTCCAGTGTTCTAGCCCCTATGCCACCTGCTGGTCCTCCCAATAATCTTTAAAAATACTGGCTCCCTCCCACCGCTTGATTTTCTGATTTAATAGGTATGGGATGTGATCTGAGCCCTGGGATTTTTCACTATTCTCCAGATGACTCTATCATGCATCAAAGTTGGAGAGTTCCTGGCATGGGTATGGTAATAGCCATCTAACTGATCTCTAGCCTCCTCTGTTGTAATCCATTCTCAACATAGCAAACAGACATACTTTTTAAACTTTGCATTTATTTATTTATTTGTCGTCGTTTGGGGCCACCAAGTCTAGCACTTGAATCGCAGTTGGCCACGTAGGAGTCTAGCACCTTAACCTCCACACCACCTGCCAGTCCCACAAATAGATATCTTTTAAATTATAAGTCAAATCATTTCATTTCTTCTAAAAACTCCAATAGCTCCCCATTTCAGTGTAAAACCTAAAGGTTTTTCAATGGCCTGCAGGATCTTATCTGAGCTGTACTGCCCCCCCTTGCACCCCACATGTAACTGACCTATGTTATACTTGGTCTCATTCATTGTTCCACTGATGTAGCCTCATTTTCTTTGAATACATCAGGCATCCTCTCACTCTAGGACTTTTGCACAACTTCTTTTTTTGCCTGAAACACTCTTTTCTCAGATATCTGAACATCAAGTATTAGCTCAAATATCACATTCTCCATAAGGCCTATCCTAAAACTTATTTTAAAATTACAACTATACTATCCACTTCTCTTTCTGTGAGATAAAAATGTGATGAGGTGGATGATGAGTTTAGAAAGAGAAGATTTGGAAGAAAGTTTGAGATGCACTTAGACACCCAAATCTAACAAGGCATCATATGGGGAGGAGTTGGGGTTGGACTATAAAATTAGGAGTAAATAGGGACCAGCAGGTAGCATAGTGGGTAAGGCACTGAACTCCCACATGGCTGACTGCAGTTTGACTCCCAGACCCAGTGCCTTGAGACTCATGGGCACGTGTGTGCGTGCACGCATGCCAAGGTCCTGAGTGGAGAACAGAAAAGGGATTACAGCGTGGACAAACCCCTGGGAGATTTTCTCACTTTCTCTCTCACTGTCTCTGGCAAGCACATTCACCCTATAACAAAATTCTATTTAAAAAAACAGGAGCAAATAAGTGATATTTAAAGTTGTGGTACTCTGGGGATCACCCTAGGAAAGCCAAGGCTGAATGACTCTTTTGGAACACCAGTATTCTGAGGGAAGCAGAGACAAAGGAGTCTGCAAAAAGTCTGAGAAAGCATAGATGAAATACCAAGAGAGAGGAGGGCTCTATCATATAAGATTTTTAAGGAAGATAACATGTTCAGTAGGAACAGAATGACTTATGGACAGATAAATACCAATGAATTTGACAAAAAGGTGTAACAGTATCTGAGGAGATAACAAGGCCTATTTAGTAGAGGAAAATCATCTTTGAGATCATTAACCTTCTTCTGTCTGTTAACTAGCCTTAACAGTAACAATAGCAGAAACTGAATAGACAAAAGAGATTGAAGTTGGAGGATTTCCTGTTGGGGTTCATTTCTAGCAAACACATACCTAAATTTTATTCCTATAAACAATAAAAACAATGAAAAGATACATTCCTTGCTTTAAAGTTACAAGTAGACTAATTAATACATGCTGCATTCTGCCACTTGTGTAGAAAACATCTCTGTGACCAATGAATTAAGTTCTCATTCAAAATGTTTCTCATAAGTCTGAGGTCAGCTCCTTAGCCTGCTGGGACCACCGACCCTCTACTGAGTCTGAGCAGTGATGGCTGAGCAACCCTTCCATGTAGAAGAGCATGTATTTCTTTGAATACACAATGTATGGTCTGAGTTGATTGCACACTAATTACTTTTGTCATCTATCACGAATGCCCACGTTCCCAGTTGCCTCCTAAACCCCTTCAATTGAAGGGGCGAAATGAGTTTTATCTCTGACCTCCTCACTCACTGATTCCAGAATTAAAGCTTTTCCCTCCTATGCAAACTTATTACTAGTCATTGGCAAACTGTGTGACTGCCAACAAACTTGGTTCCGGTAACAGTGGCTAGTCACAAAGCTTGACCTGTATGGTATCACTGTGGGGTCAAAGATTTGGAGTTACTTTAACTCTAATTAGAAGTAAGGAAGTGAGCACAGACAGAAAATAGCCTTGTTTTGATTAATGCGAGAATTCTTAATCTCTGATCCATGGGCAGATGAGATCATAGATAGGTTTCATACAAACGTTATCTAGGTCCTGCCTCCAAACTCTGCCAAGCACCGTGTGTGTGCGCGCGCGCCTTTTCCCGTAGAGACATACGCAGTAACTCTGCCAAGCACCGTGTGTGTGCGCGCGCCTTTTCCCGTAGAGACATCCGCAGCTTTCGTGGTGGTTATGGATGACATGTGCCACCCATTTGAGACCAAGGTGACCTGCTCTCCCAGGCTCCGAATTTAGTTTCCACATTTGAGAGCATTCACCCTCAGGCGGTCTCCCCACTCAGGCTGATGCCCGGGCTCCCAGGTGTGATGCATCTGTACCCCGTCAAGAAACCACCCATTTCTACCCTCACTTATACGTGTAGTGCCCAGGTCGAACTTACTTCCTTACTATTCATTCATTCATTCATTCATTCATTTTTTTATTTATTCATTCATTCATTCATTCATTCATACATACATACATACATACATACATACATACACACACACATACATACAGATTTTTGTGATAGGGTACGTGGGCTCGCCAGAGAGACAAAAAGCGAGGAGGTTGGGGGGACGCGTTCCCGGGCACGTACACTCTTCAGGCCCGGTGGACCAGGTGAGAATGCAGCGACGTAACCATTCCGCCATCTGCTGGTCCCTAGGTCGAACTTTGTAACTCCCGAGCTGTCTTGGTTTAGGTGTTCGCATCCTACTCCCCTTAGCTCACTCGTAAGTACTCCAGGGTTAAGTCTGAGCCTGCGCGCCCCTCCCGCCTTCGCACTGGCGGTCTCCGGGAATGGGGCGGGCCTGGCGTGCCCCGCCTTCTGGAGAGAGCTTTACGGTACAGCGACCGTCCTTTTACGACAGGCAGATGTTGCTTTGTGGCTGTTAACTTTTCCCCGTGGTCTGAGTTGGTAGCTGCACTATCTGTGGTGACACCTTCTACCGCCGCGCAGAAATGAGGCAAAAGCGGAAAGGTGCGGAAGGGGGAAAAGGGGGTGGTCGGGGAGGGGCGAACGCTCGGGCAATCAGATGCCGAACCCAACTTTTCCCGCAGAAATCCGCCGCCTGAGCCAGCTGCCTTCCCACCCGGAGTCAGTCTGTAGGTCGATTTTAGCCCCCTGCCTTCTTGTTTACCTACTCTGCTGCTTAAACCAACTTACCCTTCCTTTTTTTTTCTCTTTGGCAGTCACTCGATGTCTTTTGCAGAAGTGGCTGGGAGAGCTTCAGTCCAAGGCATGCCCTCCAGGGAGTTAGCATGATCTGTTTAGAGCGTTCTCGGACTCTTTTAATTTGTTAAGATTTGTTTTACTACACATATGACGCGTTTGTTTATTTAGGATTGTCATTTAAAGACAAATCATATTATGAAAAAAATTTGAATTAATTTTGGACTCTATGGGACAGTTATGCATGTAATTCTCATTTGTGTTACCACCTGCGTTAACGTGGAGCAATTCCAGCTTCAGTTTTTCAGCAGAATGGACTCAACTGTTAAATATTCTCTGCCAGGTTCCGTTCTTTTCTCTGTACATTCATTTGATCCGGTGGCCTACTAATGATAATAGTTATCATAATAAGAGCTACCATTTGTCGAACCTTTACTAGTAATGCTGAAGTTGATATCATTCCTGTTTTACAGATGAAGAAACTGAGACTCAAAGAGTCAAGTAAATTTCCCAGCCCCAAAGTACACTTTAAGAGGTGTGGAGCTGGTTGTTCAGGCTGTATCTGTCACACACCCCACCACCACCAAATGAAAAATCTGTGCACTTAATCACTATGCCTCTCTTTTTTTATTAAGCACTACGCCTCTTTTTTTTTTCTTTTTCTTTTTTTTTATTATTTTTATTTATTAATTTTTTTAGAGGTTTTCGCTATAGGACGCATGCGCTCGCCAGACAGACAGAGAGAGACAGAGAGACAGAGAGACAGAAAGCGAGAAATCACCCCCCAGGGGGGATGGTCACGCCGCAATCCCTTCTTCTCCATTCTCCTCTCGGGATCTTGGGCACGCATGCACACGTGCCCGGCGTGAGTTCTAAGCCACCGGGTCCGGGACGCGAACCGCGGTCGGCTACGTGGGAATCCAGCGACATAGCCATTACGCTAACTGCTGGTTCCCAGCACTACGCCTCTTGTCACTAAATGCTGTTTCTTTCTGTTCGAAGCAACAGCTGCAGGTGTCCAGGTTACCTTCGATTGCCTTATCATATCAAAATCTACATTTTTCCAAATTAATTTGTTGTCACCTCACTCTCCTTTACTCCTAAGTCTATCAGGCCAGATAGCTTTATTATTGTAGCTTTTCCTGTCGCAACCCTTATTATTCTTACTTAGAAATTGCTTCTTGCAATTGTTTATTACTCTTTATGCTGGCTCCCATCCTCCTAACTCATCTTTCTCAATAAATAGTATTTTAATAGTACTTTGTCTTTTATATACATTTTTTCAGTTGATTCTTACCATGGATCTAATAAGGTTTGTGTGTATTATCCCAATTTTATGAACAAGGAAATGGGTACTCAGAAGTCTTTGATCTTTCCTTCCTCAAATACTCGTTAAAGGTTGGGCCTGGAGTCTATCATGTTAAATTTATTTTATTTTAAATCTTGTATATTCACTCCTTTAAACACTACTTTCATCTTTTTATTTCTAAAGAATATTCACTTCTTCACTCTCTTTGGCATTCTATTTAAGTGCCTTTGCCTAGTTGTCAGCATACCCTGTGATCTGTTCTTTACCCAACCTTGTCAGAAAACCAGTACTCTAGTTAGGCAATGCTCCTTCACACAAAAATAGGTTATTCCTGTGCCTGACATTTTTTTGTTCTGAATTGACTTCTGTTTTGTGTGTTCAAATCCTTGCACACTAGCTTTCTGTACAGGTAGGAAGCATACTTGATAACAGTCCCCAAGCTAATATCCTATGGCTTTTGTCACTGGAAGAACACCAGCGTTTTTTGCCTTGAGGAAAAGATCTCAGATTCACCTGGCTTGAATAGATACCCATCCTTGAACCAGCCAGCTGTAATTGAGAGGATGGGGTCATATGAGAATACCTCAGCTTTCGATGTTGTTGTTGCATGAGAAAAAAATGTTCAGTTGCCAGGACAAGGGCTTGATGGTGCACAATGACTTAGAAATGCATTGAGATGCTTGGACAGATATAGAGCCCGGATCTGTGACACTTCCATAGATACCTAGGCTTGAGTTCAAGCTTTACCCCTTGGTAGCATCTTTTTATTTTTTATTTTTCTTTTTTGGATAAGTTTTTGCCATAGGGCACATGCACTCGCCAGAAAGACAGAGACAGAGAAACAGAAAGCGAGAAATCACCCCCAAGGGGGATGGCCAAGCCACAGTCCCTTCTCCGTTTTCCTCTTGGGATCTTGGGCAGGCACGCACATGCGCCCAACAGGAGTTTAAGCCACTGGGTCTGGGACTTGAACCACAGTCGACTACATGGGAGTCCAGCGACATAGCCTTTACGCTAACTGCTAGTCCCAGCCCTTGGAAGCATCTTCATGGAATAGACAAATGTTTCTGTTCTGTCTACTTTACTCCATTTTGAGAAGCAGTCAAATTAAGGCATCTAAATGTTCTTTATGAACTCCAAAGTATTATGCAAGTATTGGAAATTATAAATCTGGAGATAAAGGGAAGATGTTTAAGTACTTTGATCCTTTCATGTATGATTAGGTTTTTCTAATGTTCATTTCTACTTTTTACTGTATCTATCTGTAATATTCTTCTAGAGAATGTTCTTCTAAAGGGACCTTTTCCCATTTATAGATAAATTGTTGGGTATTATCGTTCCAGGGGATCTCAGCCATGCTGAACTAATGATGCTGACTATAGGAGATGTTATTAAACAACTGATCGAAGCCCATGAACAGGGGAAAGACATCGATCTAAATAAGTAAGTGAATATCTAAAAAGGACAATTTGTTCTTAAGGAGTAGATTTATTTTATGAAATCATCTAATACTGAAGCAGGGCAGCTTAAGGTTTAGCAGGACTGCATCTCTTTAGAAATTAAGGAAGATCCCTAACGAGAAAATCTGACCGAATGCTGGGTCTTGTGAAATTTCTGAGGAACAGTCAGATGAAAAACCAAGAGTGAGTATTTGAAATAAAACCGGAATCAGGTATTTACTCAGGGGAAATCAGTTCAGTGGTTGATTCTAGTGAGGAGTGATTTGCATGTGTTGTATCTTATATTTATAAATACTGAGAAACATGCTGACCCTTTAAAGATATTTTGATGGTGCTTGCTGGCTGTCTCCCTGTAACCAGTTGCAGAAATAAACTCCCGTCTTCTCTAGCCTCTGCCTCTTGTTTCATTGACCATAAGTAGAAGCAGCCAGATTTAGTTGGCTGGTAACAATGCCACTTACTTCCGATCTCGGTTTTTGTTTGTTTGTTTTATTTATTTATTTATTTATTTATTTATTTATTTTGAGAATTTTAGCTTTCTACCTTGCCCTGTTTCTCTGAGACAAAGTTATTTCATAGCCTAATAATACTAATAGCTTCTAATATTTATTGGACACTTTCTATAGTCCACGCAGTTATTGGTGCATTATATGCATTAGTCCAGTTAATCCTTTCATAAACCATAGGAGGTAAATTCTAATATCACTCTCACCGGACAAATGGGGAATCTGAGTCTAATAGAGAGGCTAAATAATTTGTCCAGTTGTGAATAGTATTTAGTAGAGCTGGTATATGGAATTAGATGGGCTGTCTCTGGAGCCCATATCCTTATCCCATGTGCTACCTCACTTTACATCCTGCTTGAGTTCCCTCCTGTCTCAGTGGAAGCAGCATCTCTGTCAGAGAACTCTCCCTTTGGGGTCCTTAATCTAATCAAGCCCATCTCTATTTAGGGACTCTTTTTTTTTTTTTTTTTTTTGAGAGGTTTTCGCTATAGGGCGCTTGCACTCGCCAGACAGACAGAGAGAGACATAGAGACAGAAAGCGAGAAATCACCCCCCAGGGGGGATGGTCACGCCACGATCCCTTCTCCTCCATTCTCCTCTCGGGATCTTGGGCACGCACACACACGCGCCCGGCATGAGTTTTAAGCCACCGGGTCCGGGACGCGAACCGCAGTCGACTCCGTGGGAGTCCAGCGACATAGCCTTACGCTAACTGCTGGTTCCCATATTTAGGAACTCTTTTGACACTTTTATCCATTTATTTTCCATAATGAAGTTCAGTTCAGACTTTGCTGCACCTTAAAAATAAGAATGGTCTTTCATCTCTGTATTTGTGTGTGTGTGATTGTGATATATTTAATCTATATAGTGTTGTTTTGGTGAAAGGGTTCTCCCCCCAACCCCAGGTCATCTAATTACCACATGCATGTCTTTTTCTTAGGCTCTATTATCTGTTATTTTAGATGCTACACTATTTTACTTTTTTTCTTAAAATACTGTGTCTAGTAAGCATTTGCTAAAGGAATGAGCAATCAAATAATTATTCTCTTTTGAATATGAAGACAATAGGTTTTTACTGATTTTTTTCCTACTATGTCGTTAGTAGTTTTTCCTTCTATTTTTGTTGAACATAACTCTCATTATACAAATCTTTAATTTCTAGTGCACGTTTCTGCATCTTACATATTTCTGTTATTCTTTTTAATTTAACAATTAAACTAAACCTGCCGTCTTCCTTAAATCCAGCCCCTGTGCAGATGTCGTAGCCCTTTATGTAAGTTCTGTCAGTTCGACCTCAATCTACTTTTCCAACTTTTTAAACTTCATCGAAAATCTTCTGCTTTCTTTCAAGATGATCTACTCATATTTCTTTCTTTTTTTGGTTCTTTCTTTAGAGAGCTTTTTACTCTAGGGCATGTGAGATCACCAGAAAGACAGAGAGAGAGAGGGAAAGTAAGAAATCACCCCCTGGGGGAATGGCCATGTCGCAGTCCTTTCTCCTCCATTCTCCTCTCGGGATTTTGGACACACATGCACATGCACCCAGTGTGAATTTCAAGCTGCCAAGTCCAGGACTCAAACTGTGGTCAGCCATGTGTGAGTCCATCGCCTTAGCCACTACACCATCTGTTGGCCCCTATTTCTTAAAATATATACATTCCTATTTTTAACATCTTCATTTAAGTCTGTCTGCTTTCAGTATCATCTGTGTCTTCACTGCCTGTCTGAGGTCTACTCTCTTGAGTGCATTTTCTGCAGATTATCTCCCCAGCCCACATTAAACTTCTCTCTGAATTCTGGAAGTATTCATTGCTGGTGTGTTTGTGTGTGCATGTGCGTGTGCATTTTATCACCTATGTGTTTATCACGTATACATTTATTTATTTCTTTATATGCTCATCTGCAAATACTCAGACACAGAACGTGAAAGGACTATTTCTTATACCGTCTGGCATACCAAGTACTTAGGTAGTCTCTCTTCATTATGTTAAGGAGATACTCAGATAATATTTGTTGAAAAGAACATGAGCACCCTACAGGTATTTCTAGATAGATTAATATCAGAAGACAAGGTGACTGTTAGTATTTGGCTAGCAGGTACAGTGAAAAGCTGATAGCATTACAGAGAAAAGTCAAGGAATTATTAGGATAAAGATTACTTCTGGGGAGTAGGGATAGGGTTACAATCAGAAACAGGCATGCAGAAGGGCTTGTTTTGTAACTATTAAAACTTATATTTTTTCTTTATGTATTTTATATTAGAAAGTGTTTTTTAAAACTTTGAAAAAATGTACTTTATTTTCCATTTGGTTCTGCATAGTCTTGTTTTTGATTTTATTTTAACTTTTATTCATTTATTTATTTTGGAGAGGTTTTTGTTGTTTTTGTTTTGTTTTGTTTTGTTTTGTTTTGCTATAGGGCACATGCACTCTCCAGAAAGACAGAGACAGAGAAACAGAAAGCAAGAAATCACCTCCCAGGGGGGTGGCCACGCCACAGTTCCTTCTCCTCCATTCTCCTCCATTCTCCTCTCAGGATCTTGGGCATGCACACACAGGCACCTGGCGTGAGTTTAAGCCACCAGGTCTGGGACTCGAACCACTGTCGACTACATGGGAGTCCAGTGATATAGCCATTATGCTAACTGCTGGTCCCTTATTTCTATTTTTTTTAGTCTTAAGCAGTAGTTCTCAAGCAGAGTGATTTCCTCCCCAGGAGACATTTGCCAATATTTAGAGCCATTTTGGTTATTAACAGGAAGAGAAGTGCTAGTGGGTAGAGCCAAAGATGCCATAAACATCCTACAATGCTCTGGACAGCACAGAAACACACAGCAAAGAATTATCTGGTCCCCAGCGTCAGCAGTGCTGAGGTTAAAAAGAAGTAGAATCAGAGTAGTCCTTTGAAGATGGAGCACTAGCCCATCTAGTTTTGTACTAGCCCTCCGTTGTGTCATTGTCCTAGGCCCTTCCTCGGTAGTCCTCTGGTTTTCTTTCTGGTACTCCAGGGTGAGAAGAGAAAATCATTTATTCATGAATTTTGTTCTTGTATTTCCATGTAGTCACAGATCTTCATGCTCTATTGTATGGTGCAGGGATAAAGGAATATCAGAAGTTAATTATGTTAGTCATAGGTCATCCTTTTGGTACTTGAAAACCTATGATCTTGATAACACTAGGTATTTTATTTTCAGGTTGAAAACGAAGACAGCTGCCAAATATGGCCTGTCAGCACAGCCCCGCCTGGTGGATATCATTGCTGCAGTCCCTCCTCAGTATCGCAAAGTCTTGATTCCCAAGTTAAAGGCAAAACCTATCAGGACTGCCAGTGGGGTGAGTAAATTTGCTCATGCAGTTCTGATTGTGTGCCTGAACTGATGGAAACCCATACCCCATGTACCACCTGGGCAGTGAGATAGAAGTCCTAACTTCTAACTCATGAAGTTTGTCCACAGGTTGAGCATCCCTAATCTGAAAATCCAAAATACTCCAAAATTCAAGATGTTTATTAACACCATTATGACACTACAAGTGGAAAATTCCACACCCGACTTTATGATGAGTCAGAGTCAGCACACTGCAATATAAATGTATTGTATTGGATCGTCAGAAAAGTCATGATACATTTTTGCATCATGAAAACTTTGCATAGAAAAACTTCACTTTTCAAATTACTTCAGTCTGTGTGTATCGGGTATATATGAAATGTAAATGAATTCTGTGTTTAGACATAGGTCCCATCCCAGAGATACCCAATTATGTCTATGCAAACATTCCAGATCTGAAATCTGAAACATGCTGGTCATAAGCATTTCAGATGAGGGATCCTCAACGTGTTTTATGATGTATTGCAATGGAGACACACACAGCATGCTAAGAGGGGACAGAGAGGAAGAAAGCAAGCTGTGATTAAAGGAGCAGATGATGTTTTTTGGTGTCTTTAGAATTATAGGTTGAGACCAGCAGGTGGCATGGTGGTTGATGTGCTGGATCCCACATGACCAACTTTGCATTTTCAGTACCTGGTGGCTTGAAAAACATGCCAGACATGTTTTTGTGTGCCCCAAATCCTGACAGGGCAATGGAAGAGAAAGAATCACAATATGGCCATTCCGCATGAGGGGTGATTTCCCACATTCCCTAAGGAGCCTTAGTTTCTTTTAGTGAAGAAAAATATTTGGAAACCAAGATCTGAGTGCTAGAGGTGCTTACTGCTGTTAGAATTATATCTAATAATAGATATATTGAAAACTTTGAGTTCACAACAGTATCTTAAATTCCACCCCACAAAGTTCATTCCAGTTCTTCCCTTTTCCATATTCCAAACAGTAAGCAACCTGGCTTGCATTAGCATTGATGTATAGGCATGTGCCACATGGGTCAGTCCATGAGGACCACATGTATGGTGGTGGAGCAGTAGGCTGTACCATATAGCCTGGATTTGAGGTAGGTGATGCCGTCTAGGTTTGTGTAAGTACATGTCCTGATGTTCGCACAGTGACAGAATCCCCTGATGATACCTTTCCGAGAGGTTATGTCCATCATTTAGCAATGGAAGACTATATATCCTTCATTGTCAAACAGCCTCAGATGTAACCAGTCATGTAATCCCTGCCACCACCTTCTTTTTCTCGCAGATGCTTTTCTCACTCACTAAGGCTCTGACAGATCTCCTTGAGAATATATTGCATACAGACTTTGTGAAACAGTCTAGTCCATGCTGTAAATATTGAGAGCTAATATGTCTATGAGGAGTTTGAGATAGAAAGACTATACTTTTATAAATTTATAGAATTGCATAAATTTTTTCTTGTAGGCTATTTTAGTAAAATAGTAAGTGAGAAAAAGAATAAGAGTTACTGTGACTTTAAAAAGTAATTTCCTATTTTGCACTTCATTTATTCTGCGGTATAAGACAGATTCATATATGCAATTCATACAAACATCTGAAGATTGTTAATATTGAAAACAGATTACCATTACACCTACCTAGTGCCCAGCTTAAGAAATACGCATTTTCAATACAGATTGTATATCTCTTATCTAAAATGCCCTGCTTGGACCACGGTGTTTCAGATTTCAGATTTTTGGGTTTTTGGAATATTTGTGTATATGTAATGAGATATCTTGGGGATGAGCCCCAAGTCTAAACATACAGTTTATAGTTACATTTCACATACACTGTATACACATAGGGTAATTACAATATTTTTGTGTTGCAGTGTTTAGATAGCAACCCATCTCATGAGGGTGAGGTTTGTGGGATTTTCTTTTTGTGGTGGCATGTCAGCACTCCAAACGTTTCAGATTTGGGGATTTGGGATTAGGAATTCTCAACCTGTACCTTAGAAGCCCCCATATGCCACTCTGACTGCACTTCTCTTCTTTCTGAAGAATAACCCAGAATTTTGTATTCAGTTTCCCATAATAACTTTCTTGTTACTCTTTCTTTTATAGATCGCTGTTGTGGCTGTGATGTGCAAACCCCACAGATGTCCACACATCAGTTTTACAGGAAATATATGTGTGTGAGTATGTGGATTTTGATGAGTTGTTTGAATTGAATTAGTAAGCCTGCTACAGCACTTGAGCAGTACATGCTGCTAATATTTACAACTTTGAGTCAAGGTTTGTAGGTTAGTTCTTTGAAACAAGCAACCATTGGTATTTAGAAATCAAGATTTTTAGAAATAGAACTGAATATAAAGATTTTAATTTGTTGAGATATTAAAAAATAGGTTTGGAACTCAAAACAGTAGACACTCTATTAACTTGACAAATGAAACATGGAAATACTCACTGCCTAAATTTTTAAGTGTCTGAAATTTCAAATTAATTTGGACTAGAAAAGTATCACCATAAAACATTATTCTTAGCAATAATTACCTTTAGATTTCTCAGATTTAAATATTTGAGAGAATTAGCAGAAGAGTATACATGGGTCTAGTTAGACAGATTAAATGGGAGAAAGATTTGATTGACTTACCAAGAGAGCACTTGTGAGTATCACTCCAAACAGGAAAACTAAGTTCCCTTTTTTCTTTTTTTTTTTTTTTGCCCCTAAAATCTTAAACCTCTAAAATAGTAGTGTCTGTAGTATTTTGGAAATGAATGTGATTGTGCTCTTTTACAGCCTCATCTTGTTTACTTATTAGTAGAAAATACATTCTTTGTAGTTACTGCGAAGGTAGACTCTTCTGTTAAGTTCATTTGATAGCAGAACTTCATGGAGACTGCAGTTACTTAAGTAGACAGTTGAACTGTTCTGTGTCTAACACCCTTGTTCTTTTGTTCTGTTGGCAGATACTGCCCTGGTGGACCTGACTCAGATTTTGAGTATTCCACTCAGTCTTATACCGGATATGAGGTAAAGTAATTTAGGTTTTCCTGAAGAAGTGTTACTTTGCCCATCATACAGTTTTTGCAAGTACTGCCTTCCCTAAAATGTTTAGGTTTTGGTTCGATTTGTCTTTCCCTGATTATAATAGCTCGCCATCCACCAGATAGGCTAAGTGTCTAATAGTTACTGGATAATTACATAAGCACTTATTAATGTATTCCAAACACAATTCTAAGTTCTTTCCAACTTTAACCCTTACAGCGACATTTTGAAGATAGACATTGTTATTATCACAATTTTATATTTTAGGAAACAGGAAGGGAAGGGTTGAACAGCTGGCTCAGAGACGGGTTTTGAACTCTGGGCTCTGTACCATGTGTTGTATTGTCTCTTTAGCAGTGAACTAATGGTCAAGGTCCCTGGTCTTATGGTCTTTATATTCCAATAATAATAAACAATAAAGAAAGTAGTTAGAAAAATACCAGATACTAATGAATACTAAGCAGACAAGTAAAATCAAATAAGGGAATAGTAGTTGGGAATAATCTATGGTAGTTAAGAAAGGATTCTCTTAGGAGATGGTATTTAAATTCAGTCCTGCAGAGAAGACGTATGTATAAGAATATTAGAAATGAGCATTCCTAGCAGAGTGTACTATTATAGGACAAAGAGCCTCAGGAAAGAAGATGAGACATTTTAGAGCCTAGTGAGTAAGGGAAAGTAGGAGGTTGAAAATTCAGATGAGGCCAAAGTTTATGGGGTAAAGAGTTTGAATTTAATATAGGTGTCATTGGGGTTTAAAGCAGGGGAATAATACAATCTGATTGAGGAAATTTTTTTTTTTTTTTTTTGGAGGGGTTTTCGCTATAGGACGCGTGTTCTCCCCAGACAGAGAACACAGACAAAAAGTGAGAAATCACCCCCCAGTGGGGATGGTCACGCCGCAATCCCTTCTTCTAAATTCTCCTCTCAGGATTTTGGGCATACACGCACACACGCCCAGCGTGGTCCGGAATGTGAACCACGGTCAACTACGAGGGAGTCCAGCGACATAGCCATTACGCTAACTGTTGGTCCCTCTGATTGAGGTTTTTAAGATCGGGTTGACAGGTACGTGGAGAGTATTCAGTGAGGACAAGAGTGAAAGCTGGAGACCAGTGAACAACTTTTGAAGAAGTCACCCTCTCTTCAAAGAGATCAGAAGCCAGCAAGCCAAGGGACTTTTTCTCTTTTTCATACATGGTTTACATTTTTATCCTGTTTTCTATGATTCAAATTTTTAAAACTACAGAAGGAATTATTCAGAGAAAAGGCTCTCTCTAATTTCTCTTCCATAGCCTCCCTTTTCTGCTCTTCCTCCAACATGTAATCAGTGTTATTGATTTCTTCTGTATTCTTCAAAGATATTTGGTGGATATACAAGCAGATCCGAATTCTATTTTTTTTTTTTTTTTTTGGTTAAGTTTTGTTATAGTGCATGTGCAGTTGCCAGGGGGAAAGAGAGACGTGAGAAACCAACACCCAGGGAGGATGGCCATGCTACAGTACTTTCTCCATTCTCCTCTTGGGATTTTGGCATGTATGTACATGCACTTTACATATTTTATTTAATAACCTATCATATGGGACCAGCAGTTAGTATAATGGCTATGTCGCTGGACTCCCATGTAGTCGACTGCGGTTTGTGTCCCAGACCCGGTGGCTTAAAACTCATGCCGGGCGCGTGTGCGTGTGTGCCCAAGATCCCGAGAGGAGAATGGAGGAGAAGGGATTGCGGCGTGGCCATCCCCCCTGGGGGGTGATTTCTCGCTTTCTGTCTCTCTGTCTCTCTGTCTGTCTGGCGAGCGCACGCGCCCTATAGCGAAAACCTCTCAATAAATAAATAAATAAATAAATAAATAACCTATCATATCAGTGCATTGTTTCATGGCTCTAGAATACTCTGTGGTATGACAATAATGTAAAAGCTATTCAATAAGCCATTACAAACGGTGTTGTACTTGAGAACTTGTTCAAAGGCTGTTTTACCCTACAACTGTTTTGAATGTGTTTGTTTATCAGTTCTATGTAAGTAGTAGACCACTTTGGTGACCCTAAGGATTCCTTAAGTGTTTACACAAAAGACAAATATAATCCAAGAAGACAACTGCAGTTGAGATATTTATGTCAGTGGAAACCCTGACAAAGTTGAGAAGGAAAATAAAGGTACTAGCAGATTTTTAGTGTTCACAACTATAGGAAATTTTATTTTAAATCCAAAAATTTTATTTTTAGAATCACCTTTTATTTTTAATTTTGTATGGGTATAACCATCTTTTTATCTTTTCTTCTTAGCCAACTTCCATGAGAGCTATCCGTGCTAGATATGACCCATATCTGCAGACCAGACACCGGATAGAACAGGTATGTTTTTTTTCTCCTCTCGAACCCCAACCTGAACAGATAAAATTTTAACAGTCTTTTCCTTTTTAATTAACTGTTTATATTCAGCCAGAAAGTATTGTAGCTTGATTTGATTTGAACCTAGAATAAAAACTAATTTTTCCTTTTTTAAGTTTTAACTATTTATCCAAGGAAGGGAGACTATTTTGCAATTCCTAGCAAAGTCAAAAACACTACTTTCTTTAGAGACTACTATTTTCTTTAAGGGTTTTATATTCTATAAGTTTCTCTCAGTTTGTAGAAAGCAATGTGTAATATGAGATTGATGGATTAAAGGTGTGGAAGTTCTTAAGCAATGGGTGGATGGATTGAATTTTAGCTTTCATCAGCGAAATCCAAAAGTATTATGACAGTTTTGCTAGGTTGGGAATAGGAGATTGACTTCAAAGGGATTCAAGGAATTTTAAAGGGTTATAGAATTATTCTATATTGTGATCATGGTGGGCGCATGACTAAACATTCATCAAGCTCATCCATATATGCTGAAAGATAGTATATTTTATTGAGTATAACTATACCTCAATGTAGCTGATCAAAATCAAGTGCCATAGGCGCCAGCAGTTAGTGTAATGGCTATGTCGCTGGACTCCCATATAGTCGACCATGGTTCGAGTCCCGGACCCGGTGGCTTAAACTCACGCTGGGCACATGTGCGTGCATGCCCAGGATCCCGAGAGGAGAATGAAGGAGAAGGGATTGCGGCGTGGCCTTACCCCCGGGGGGTGATTTCTCGCTTTCTGTTTCTCTGGCGAGCACACGCGCCCTATAGCAAATACCTCTCCAAACAACCAAAAAAAAACAAGTGCCATATAAATGACCTTCAAGAAAATTGTACATTAGTGCAGATTTTTTTTTTTTTTGCTTACCAGTTTATTTTCAACTTGTCAGATTTTAAAAATTTTAAAGTACTGTCTGTAGTTGTAACAGTAGTAGGATAAATCCAAAATCTAAAATAGAAAGTAATGCCGACCAAGCAATAAGTTGCTTCAGGGTTTGTAGGTTGTTTTTTTTTTTTTTTTGAGAGGTTTTTGCCATAGGACACATGCGCTCGACAGAGAGACAGAGAGACAGAGAGACAGAAAGCAAGAAGTCACCCCCCAGGGGGGATGGCCACACCGCAATCCCTTCTCCTCCATTCTCCTTTCGGGATCTTGGGCATGCACACACATGTGCCCAGTGTGAGTTTTAAGCTACCGAGTCCGGACGCGAACCACAGTCGACTCCATGGGAGTCCAGCGACATAGCCATTACGCTAACTGCTGGTCCCAGGGTTTATTTAACAGTATATTTGTAAATATCATCCAGTTCTGATTTTCATTTCACTGTCATTCAAATGTGTATGGACCAGCAGGACTGTGAGCAAGAGGAGAGGAACCCTCCCTCAGGGAAGCCTGCATAGTTTGGAAAAACATGTTCTAAACTGACCTTTGCTTCAATTTATTTTTTGAGCTATAATACTTAATTCATTTAAAATGTAAACCTGTGTTTCAGCAGAGTGTAAAATGTCTATTGTTGCATATTTTTTAATATTTAGAAACCATTATAGAGCAGTGACTTTTTTTTAAAGTCTCCTAGATTCACCCAAATAACTTCTCTAAAATGTGCCAGATCTTCACCCTCAGGGAGTCTGATTGGTCTGTTTTAGGGTCCTGGCAAGATATTTTGAAAAATCTACTTGGATAGTTTTGTTCTATATCCCTTGTAAACATCCTAAATATAGCAATAGCATGTTCTTTCAGTGTTGATATATATGTATGCACACATATATATGTATAAATTGTATTTGCCCAGTTCAGATATAAAAAAAGGCACCTTTTGGGCATGTTAAGTATAGACATTCTTTACATAGTACATTAATTCTGGTTCATAATTGTATACTTTACTTGACCTTGTATTTCTCAAGCCTAAAATACGGCAAGAGATTTAAATATCATTTTTTTTTTTTTTGGAGAGGTTTTTCACTATAGGGCATGTGCGCTCACCAGACAGACAGAGAGAAACATAGAGACAGAAAGCGAGAAATCACCCCCCCAGGGGAGATGGTCACGCCGCAATCCCTTCTCCTCCATTCTCCTCTAGGGATCTTGGGCACGCACACACACGTGCCCGGAGCGAGTTTTAAGCCACCGGGTCTGGGACGTGAACCGCTGTCGACTACGTGGGAGTCCAGCGACATAGCCATTACGCTAACTGCTGGTTCCCTTAAATACCTATTTTTAAAAACTATAATCTTGGCTTATTATAGTTGACAAAAGTGGAAGATTTTTGCCATTCTGACCTGGAGTAGAGGATACATAATATTTCATTTTTTACCAACCAGACCTTCACTTTCAACTTTTCTTTCCAGAAACTAGGCTTGAGGTGCCACCTGTGCCCAGAATTTCCAGTCCATTTTAAACTGCTTTCTTGAGTTTTCTTTCTTACCTAATCTTTTTATTCCACTGCATCGAGTCCCAACTCTGTTGCATAATCACATATGCATTCTTATTGCATAATCATCCATGCATCTTTTTTGTTCCCAAGGCATATCACAGTCTGGCATAAAATACATGATCAGTAAATACAGTTATATGCCATATAGTGAAGTTTCAGTCAGTAAGAGACTACACATGTAATGGTGTTCAATAAGAATAAAATAGACTATACCTTATAGTCTAGGGTTGTAGTAGGCCATTCCATCTAGGTTTGTACTAATATACTCTGATGTTCACACAACAATGAAATCATCAAACGACACATTTCTTATGCATGTTCCCCATCATTAAGCAATATATAACTATATTATATTGCATATTATGCTTTCTGTTGGTTTTTTGGTCTTTGCCAGAGGGTTCATGTACTTGCCAGAGAAAGAAAAGGAGAGGAGGAGAAAGCACCCAGCAATGGGGTGTGGACATGCCACAATCTCTTCTCTTCCATTTCTACTTCCTTTTGGGATTTGGGGCACGCATGCACGCACACATGCCTGGCATGTTTTTTTTGTTTTTGTTTTTTGTTTTTTTTTTTTTGAGAGATTTTCACTGTAGGGCGCGTGCGCTCGCCAGACAGACAGAGAGAGAGACATAGAGACAGAAAGCGAGAAATCACCCCCCAGGGGGGATGGTCACGCCGCAGTCCCTTCTCCTCCATTCTCCTCTTGGGATCTTGGGCACGCACGCACACGCGCCCGGCGTGAGTTTTAAGCCCCCGGGTCCGGGACACGAACCGCGGTCGACTACGTGGGAGTCCAGCGACATAGCCATTACGCTAACTGCTGGTTCCCATGCCTGGCATGTTTTTCAGGCCACTGTGTCTGGAACTCAAGCCATGCAGTCAGCCCTGTGGGACCCAGCTGCCTTAAGCACCATTCTACCAGCTGGCCCACATATTAGATGTCTAAAATTTTCTAGCTTATATTGTGTTTATAAAATTTCACTTAATTGTGTTTGTACAGAAGTCAAGTTTCTTACTATTTAATTCTCTTGATTTGAGGTTAATTTTTTCTTTTAGATTTGAGTCTATTTTTTTACACACAGGACTAGCTAAATATGTTTAGTGGGTTCTCATTTTTAAACTGTACTCATGAAAACACTGCAAAACAAAATTAGAGATTTGCAATACCCTCTTAGGGTACTTTCCTGTATCTTTCTAATGCTGATCATTTTTTAAATGTATTTTTCAGTTAAAACAGCTTGGCCACAGTGTGGATAAAGTGGAGTTTATTGTGATGGGTGGAACATTTATGGCACTTCCAGAAGAATACAGAGATTATTTTATTCGAAATTTACATGATGCCTTATCAGGACACACTTCCAACAATATTTACGAGGCAGTCAAGTAAGAAATCCTTATTTCCTCATACTCTCCAAAGTGGTTGTTACTTTATCCTGCCTGCCATGAGAAATCCTTCTGCTCTTCATTCACATTCTTATTTCTTATGGTCTCTATTTTGAAATAATCTCCTCACTGAAATAGTCCTTTAAATAAAAAAGTGAGTATAGACAGTTGATGTAGTAGACTTCTCAAATAAAGAGACTGACAAAATATTATCTGTGATGAAGTTTGCATTCTTTTGATAATTTGTATGTCAGTTTTAGTAGAAAGAATACTGAGGTTTCATATATATTCCAATGATTTAAGAAGCAGATTTCCTTGCCTTAGGGCGTGTGCGCTCACTGGAGAGAGAGAGAGAGAGAGATAGGCAGTGAAAGGGAAAGTGAGAAATCACACCCTGGGGGGATAGCCACGCCACAGTCCCTTCTCCATTTTCCTCCCTGGGTGTTGGGCACACACGCACCTGGTGTGAGTTTCAAGCCACCAGGTCCAGGACTCAAACCAACCGTGGTTGGCCATGTGGGAGTCCAGTGACTTAGCTACTAGTCCATCTGCTGGCCCCAGAAGTCTTAAAATCGTTTTTTAAAGTTTCAGGAACACTTGGATAGTTACTTGTATGCTGTTTCTATTGTTTACCAAATGTTTTGAGGGCCCACTGGGTATTCTGCACCGTTTCAGGCACTGGGAACAGCCTGATGAACAAATGTAATCCTTGTCCTCATGGTGCTTACATTCTGGTAGTTCAACAAATAACAAACAGTAAGTGCTGTGATGGAAAAAGACTGTTGTGATAGAGAATAAATAGGGTTATTCTCTAAACAAAAGGGTGATATTTAAGCTGAGACCCTAAGTGTACGGAGAGTGAGGCCAAAAGCAGAAACGATAAGATGAAGTCACTGAAATGGGAAATAGCTCGGAGTGTTCTGGAAATAGAGGAGGCCTAGGGTTAGATCCCAGTGAACAGAGGAGAGATCACTGAGATGAGGTTGAAGTTTTAGGTAAGGGCCAAATTATAAATGTGTTTGAGGAGTTGAAATTTTATTTGAAGGCCAACCTAGTGGTTAAGGGAGTGAGATCCCATATGGCCAATCACAGTTTAAATCTTGGCTCCATTGGTTTGAAAAACCATACCAGGTGTGTATGCATGCATGCCCAGAATCCTGACAGGATGAAGAAATGGAAGAGAAAGGGTCATGGCCTGACCGTGCCCCATGGAGATGGGGGTAGGGAAGGTCTTTCTCTTACTCTGGCAAGCATATGTGTCCCTTAGCAGTTATTTTTTTTTTTTTTTTTTTAATTTGTAATGCACCAAGAACCACTTGATTGGTTTTAAGCAGGGAAATGTTGTTCTGGTCAATAGGTGAGGTCATTCTGGCTATTGTCTGGCTAATGGATTAGAGGGGTACGAAAGGAAAAGTGAAAAATGGGAGACATATGGGAGACATCCATCCTAGCTCAGATGATGGTGGTGGCATTAGCGATGGAGAAAGGGTTAGGCTGAGTGTAAGAACGAGGAAGGAGTGAAGCATAACACCCAAGCTTTGGCTGTAGGAATAGTGGAAGGTAGTGCCATAGACTGAGATGGAACAAACTAAGGGAAGAGCAGGTTTATGGGAAAAATCCAGAGTTTTACAGGCATGTTAGTTTGAATGTTGATGATACATTCAAGTAGATATGTTTGGTGCTATAAATACAATAGAAGCCTTAGCTAACAATACAAAATTGGGAATTATTAGTTCATAGATGACATTTACAGCCACGTAAATGGATGAGATCACCTAATGGGAGAGTTTCAGATCTCCAAGGTATACTAAGTAAAAAAGCAACTATTTTTTTAGCAATCTCATATTACGATCCCATCATTGATGTATACAGTATGTGCGTGTGTGCGTGCACACACTGTCCACAGTCACACCCCACATAGTGTTTCAGTTAGAGATGGACCACGCATATGACGGAGCAGAAGGCTGAACCATACAGTCTAGGTGTATAGTAGATAACCATCTGGGTTTGTATAAGTATACTCTATCATGTTCACATAACAACGAAGTCTCCTAATGACACTTTTCTCACAGTGTATCCCTGTCATTAAGGAACACTTGACTGTGTGTGTGGGAGGTGGGGGTTAGAAAAGTTAGAACAATGATCATCATTGGCATTAGTTAGAGCTGAGGAGGAAGGGACAGGGGAAATGAAAGTAAAGGGAGTATTCACATTTCCTCATCACACGGTATGCCAGGCATTGTGACAGGTGTTTTATTCATTTATCTGGCTCTTACAGTAGGCCTTTGAGTTAAATACGTAGAGTATCCCTGTTTTACAGGTAAGAAACTAGGCCCTGAGAAATTAAGCAACTTGCCCAAAGTTATACATGTAGTTGGTGGAATAGCTTTGCTTTCAGAGCCTGAACTTTGTTGTAATGCTAGAAATTATACTAGGTGTAAAAATTTGAGCATGAGTGTGTGTGTGTGTGTGTGTGTTTGTACATGTGTGTGCATCATTGCATCTTGAAAGGAACAGAGTCTCTTGTTTCTTGTGTTCCTTCCCACCACTTTCAGGCTTGACTCTGGCTTCTCTTTTATATTAGAGGAGGGGGAAGGTCAGAGAGCTAATAGTAAGGTTGTTCATATTGTGCCTCCTCTTAGAGAATTTTTTTGAGTAGTGATAAGTAGGACCAAGTTTAGAATAGACCTAAGGATGATTTTCATTACTCTATATTTAAAGTGGTTCTTGTCCTGTAGCAGGCATAAGTCAAAGTGTGCATGAACTTTGAATGAGTGATCAAGATAAAGACTGGGGGGGGGGTTAGAGGATATTTTTTTCACTATAGGGCGCATGCACTTGCCAGACAGACAGACAGAGACATAGAGACAGAAAGCGAGAAATCACCCCCCAGGGGGGATGGTCATGCTGCAATCCCTTCTCCTCCATTCTCTCGGGATCTTGGGCATGCACGCACACGCGCCTGGCGTGAGTTTTAAGCCACCAGGTCGGGGATGCGAACCGCGGTCGACTACGTGGGAGCCCAGCGACATAGCCATTGTGCTAACTGCTGGTTCCCAAGACTAAATATTGATAGCTGATGATTTAGGTAGGGCTGCCTCTTGGAGTTGGGAATAGGGACATTTTTCCATGCCTCTCCCTAATTCCTCCAGTCCCTTAACTTCTTTTACTCTTCTTTCGGTTTGTAAAAATGGAATGAACACGGTTGCTTTTTCTTAAGTTTAAATAAATATCAAGGGTTGCTCGAGGGGTCTATGCAAAAGGTTTGGGAGCTGAGAGAGCATGTGTGGAGAGCAACCTACTTTTATTTGATTGACTCTAGGAAATGAGACAGGTGAATTCCATTCCGTGAATCTAGACATTAAGCACTGTGGTCTCTTCCTCCTACAGAGGCTGTAGGATGAGATGGTGACTGTATTTTTACTGCTCATTTAGAACCATGATCATTCATGAGTATGAGTCATGCTGAGTAAAACGCTGAAGTCTTCAAACTTGAGGGAGAAGATGATGCAGTCCAACTCATTTTTTAAAAAATACTGAGAAATCAAACTGTAGTTTAGATAAAATGTGACTTGAGGAAAAGCAACCTTAAGCTAGTCAAAGGCCAAAGACATTGGAATGGCAACTGTACCTCTGAGGGTTTGCTGACAGTCATTCAACTCTGAAAATTCTCTAGCAGGAAATCAAGGCCATTTCATTTTCCTACACAAGCTTGTATGTCACTTCCTCCATGGAGCTCTCTTGTGTTGAAGACCGCGCATGTTAAGTGGAGTTGAGCTATAAATATTATAGTCTTGTCCCTTCCCCTCTACAAAGCTTTCCACAGTCTACAGTTTGGGACCACTGGGCTATTTAAAGCAGGCCAACTAAGATCTGTATGTTGAATTTGTAGGATTTTGCTACTTCGACATTTTCATCGGTTGAAACTAAGTTTCCTGCTTTATTCTTGGTATAAAGGTTTACCATTATTTTCTCAGAAGTGTTTTAGTGCGTGATGGTACTTGAATAGAAGCTGTCTGTTGTTGCAGTGAAAACGAGATTTTGTGTAATAACTAGCTAGCTTCGGGTCTTGGTGTGTTTGTAGAAAAGCCTTTTGAAGAAAACCTCTTTCTATAAGAAACTAGGCAAAACTAGCATAGTTTTCTATTCTCAAATTCACCTCAAGAGGGCAACAAACACTTTACTTTGAGATAAAAATTTATGATTTCAGGTTTCATTGCAACAAATCTCATGAATGGCTCTTGGGAAGCAATAAAAGTACAATCTGGGAGCCATAAAACCGTCCAGAAATGGTACATCGAATTCTGACAGCCCGCATGTACATGTTTTGCTTTTCTCCAGGCCCCTATACTTTTATGAGATTATCTGAAAAAAAGCTGATTTGTGACATATTGTTTGCTTTGTGAAGGTAAAATTTTACCACAAATCTCCTATGAGGGTACTTGGAAAAGTTCATAGAAAAATGAAATGAAAGTATGAGTTTATTTCAGTGCAAAAGAATGTTGAAATTCATCATTTTATTCAGAATGTATGTTTTTCCATAAGTTTTTTTAAGACACACACACACACACACACACACACACTTATGTAACAGAGTTTTTAGGGACACTGTATTATTTGAAACAGTATAGTTTGATTTTTATTATAGAACTAGAGTCAGAAAATTATTTTTAAATGTTAACATCATTGTGAAATAAAAAACAACACAGAGAAACTGTGTTTTCAACAGTGTGCTCCCCTTCAAACTTTAGGGGCTTTACCTTGCTCTTCTCTCTGTTATCTTGCACGAAGTGTGTTTGTAAAAACTGGTTGGGTTACCCAATGTGGTTACCTCTTGAATAAAGTAATGAACGTCATGTTGCTTTACTATTACTTGGTATTAGTAATTTTGCTTGCTAACTACATAGATGTAACACTGACTTTCATAAGCTTAGTGTTTTTTTTTTAAACACTAATTTTAAAATAAGGTTAAAATTATATATTGTGACAGTTGCATCAAC